CAGAAATCTTGCATCAAAGACAAATGATGACTTGTCTATGTCACCAGTCCTAAGTTTGCTGTTCAGTCTACAACTTTTGAATTTTAACAGGCTTTGGTTAAAAAATTATGCTCAAGTTCTCAGGAGGCAGTAGAAATGGACAATATTCCCGGTCAGGTCATGACTTAGGTGACCAGAAAGTCTAGCACTTACACTAGCTGCTCTCCTGCTGCTGTTACATTCCTTTCTTGAAAGGAAATGAAAAAAAAGTCATCTAGGTAAGAAATGCAAAGAATAGAAACATGGTCCTTAGGATTGTATAAACCACTGGTTAATCTGAACACAGTTACGTACACTTTTGAAGAGTACTTTGTTGCCTCACTCACAAAAACAAAGATATAAACAACCTGACTTTACTTAATGCTTTCTTTCTGGCCTGATTGAATAGTTTTCAAAAAGCTTCAGCCATACTCCCTACTACTTAAAATCACTGAGCATTAGTCTTGTCTGTAGTACCCACCTTGATATATACACAAGGTAGAAGCATTTCTCATTCCAGCATTTGTGTAAGAGGTGAATATCATGGATTCATTTTAAAGAGGACAAATTTGGATACATACAGATGGATTAATGCAAGTCCCCAGTATCAGACTGGGAGGACTGTAAGAGCTGGGAGGAGAGCCTGGGTTCTCCAAAGTCCAGTCTGGAGTAACCATATCAGGTTTTTCGTGTTGGTCAGTCCCTCTTAGCTGCCCAAGACACATGTGAGAGAAGCTGAATGTTCTCAATGTCCACTGAACTACCTCATAGCTGTTATTACGTTCTTGTGTGTCCCACTGCACAGTGTGCCTGTCTGTATTTGACTTATTTGCAGTGGGTCTGTCTCCCTTCTCTTCTGTTACTACTCCCTAGTAACAGATTCACAGGAGCCATGTTCTCAAGTCTTTCAATGCAACTAGTACTGTGCAAAGAGCAAGATTTCAAGTCATATTTGGTTAACCTGAGACATTTCTACTACTGTTTCTTCTTACCTGCTGCCACTCAGGTAGGATATGGGTTTCTCTGTCTTCCATGTTACGTCTACCAGCCCCAGACAGATGTCTTGAATATCCTACAGCATTTAAAATGGCACCAGGTGCCTGTGTTTAGATGATTGAATGTCTTCCTTGGTCCTTTCTCTGCAGTTTGCATAGGTCTGTGTTTTATTTCAACAGTTATGGTAGGAGATGTATCTCTGGGACCATACACGAGGTTCACCAGAACTCGCAGGAAGTGCTCAGAGAAACTTGGGTCAGTTTTGTCATTTACAGACCCACAGCTAAAGCTGCTCTAACTATAAAAAAATGGCAGCTTCTCTCATTTCAAATCCCCTGTCTTACAACTGGTTTGGGTTTATTTTAATGCAGCATTTCCAGCTAGTTATATAGGAGCATTTTCTCTCCTTCTTAGAATGTAAACTTTCTCATGAATGTCTGTCTCCCATGGCACTAATTTGGTAAAATGCTGTTGTAAGTTTCATTTTGTCTCCAACTGTGCAAATGACTGCCAAGGAACAATTAGGAGTTGTAGCCTGAGCTCAGTGGAACATTAAATGCTGTAGTTTAGTAGTCACTTTGCTCCATTCTGTGCTCTTGCACAAATCTCTGCTAATCTACATAAGTAATATATGCACAGGCTTCCAGGAACTGCACACATTTGCCATTTCGAGCATAGGCTAAATACTCACCAATGCTGTATTTTTAGCACCTCACGTTTTACCAAAAAGGCAGCATAAAGGTTATCAAGTTCCTCCCAAAGTCAAATTAAAAAGCGGGTATGGGAAAATGCCACTGGTAATGTTTATCCAGAATGTAAAACATGGTATCAAAATAAGTCATATTTTTCTTGGATTCTGACCAAAAGAGAGCTGTCAACAAAAGAAAAGTATATAGGGTTAGAAGGGAGGAAGGCTATGGAAAAAAAAAATTTAGAGGCCCTTTTGTTTTCCTTTTCCTGTGAGAAAGAGTCATCTTAGGCATGTTTGTAAGTCATGTGAGCTACTGGAAACTACAAGACCTTCACCTCACGAAACACGTATCCCATTTTAAAATCACAGTGATAAGAATTTTAAGAAAAACCCTTGTGCCTAATCTATACCTTCAGGCTTGCTTTGAATGTGAATTTGGAGATGCGTTGAACAACAGCTCTTTTAGAGATTTAGAAATGCAAAATCTGCTTTTGCTGAAGCTCCCTCTATGACAACAAATAAGAATCCTTTCATTTTCACTGCATTGTTCTCTTTCCTTCAGAAAAATTCTGTGAATTGGATATTATTTTCCCAGTTGTCTAGATAAGGAGATGGAAGCAGAGACTGAGAGGCAAATTATATATAGTCACTGCATAAGTGCAGAGGATTAATGAAAGAGACCTCTGCTGACTGTTGTGCCCAGCAAAGAGAGGATAATATTGCTGTAAGGTGTCATTGAAAGTTTCCCACTGATAGATGTGAGAAAAGAACTGGTCAGTGCAATGGGCCTACGCTCTGTGTTTGGAGTCCAGGAATGCTTGTTCTCATCCCATATATGTTTTTCTAGATAAATTGCCCATAAAATTCTCAACCTAATAGTCCCTCTTATTTCCTGTAAAAAGCCCAACACAGGCAACCTTAGTAAAACAGATTTTGGCTGTATTTTAGAACAGTCAGGCAATAGACAGAAAAATATGATCAGGTACCAAAAAAGTGGTGAGCTGGCATGGCCTTTTTGGAATTATGTCGTGTAACGTCCAAGATTTTGGAAGCAACTTCTCCACAGTAACTTAGAGAAAGAGTCTCACTGTGTGTCTCTTATTTGCCTCCAGCTGTGTACAACTATTCCCCAAGACCAGCTTTATAAAGAAGAAAGTGATATTTGCCTTTCAGACTGGATAGACCTTAGCTGGTGCACAGTTTGAGCAGTTCTCCCATTGAAAATGCTCCTTCTGAGTTTGCAAATAAATTGCTTTAAAATGCACTTGGAGGAGTGCATTTTATAATCATTTTATAGAACTTTCCACTGTGAAAACATTATGAAACTCATTCAGTTCATTCTTTCTGCCATCTTCAAGTTGAAAGTTTTGTTTGCTAGTTTTCTCTCCCAACCTGAGTGCTGCAATAAGTTTAAATCTTCTTGTCAAATTGCTTAAATGAGTAATCTCATGGATTTGTGTATGTGTGTGAGTGTGTGCCTCAGGGTACAAAAGGACTGCAGTGTTACAGCACTAGTTTCCTCCATGGGAGACTTCAACTGATTTGTGCCACTGGTCTTGTAATCCATCACAGGGAAAACTCGGTTTATGATGAATCTTGCAGTGTGGGTGTTGAGCCTGAGCATCATTAGTTCACATTGGCTTGTGGGGATGTTCAAGACCTGTCAAAACTCAGGTCAGCGGCAGATGTTGTAAGAAATTGTATTCCAGTCACAGAGTGCTGTGTCTCTTCTTCTGTATTTAAGCAACCAGTGCGGAATACTGCCTTAGATTCCAGTTTATGAAACCACTTAGGCACACATGAAGCCTTGCTGTCTTGAATTAATCCTGTCTGTATGTCCAGGTACACAAGAATGTGTGTATGACAGTTTTGGAAGGCTTCCTTCAAGGTGTACTTCGTTGTTTTCATTGATCCCACATACCTGAACTCAGCTTTGTAAGTGCAAGGCAGTTCAGGTACAAGTAGAAGGACTGGGCTCCAAGACTACTACAAAAGACATGAGGGCAGGTGAATGCTAAACAAATAAATAATAAAGTAAAATAAAATTAAATACCTGATTCTTCAACATGTGCTTTCAGTTACTCCTGGTATGAGCAAGGAAAAATCAAACAATCAAATAGATAAAAAGGAATCTGCATTGTTGGACATAATTTAAATCAATGTCAGGAAACATCACCGAATTTTTATTCCAATTAATATCTTCAAAGACAGCAGATAAATGGCATTTTCAGGCATTTTCATTTGTTTGCTAAACTACAAAAAAAAATGTATCATCTGTTACTCTAAGTATCTGTGCTCTTAAGGGTTTGATCTTGAAAAGGGCAAATCTGCTTCACCTGACCAAAACTAGTTTAAGTGCGGCTAGAATGGAAAATTACTTTTTCAATAGGCTAATCACAAGGGCAAAACTTAGGTAGTAGGTCACAGACAGCGATGTCTTAAATTCAGCTGAGATAACTGGGAAAAATGAATTACCCAATGTGAAATTCTAGTTTCGATTATTTAGATAAAAACTTTCTACTGGTCATGATTTTATTTTCTAAATTTTTTCATGTTTTGTAACAGGTTACCACACGTTGTTTTTCTTTTAATTTTAGGGGGGTTTTTTTGTTAGGATTTTTGTTAGTTTCATTTTCTTTTTCTTCTTTTAATAAGCTAAGACAACACTTGGCACTCATTTTGATTTCAGACTTGTTTTAGACCATTGTACAACTTCATCAGATTTCTGGCAAAATCAGGTCCCTTTTTATGTTTCATTAAAAGCTACTCTCAAAGGATTAGTTTCTCTTTTCTCCTTCCCTCCCACCCCTCAGGATGAAGAGCAATTGTCCAACAGTACATTAGCTATCTTTATTTTCATTATCATGCTATTTTTATTTAATTCAGGTGCAGATATATTGATACAGCAGGTGCACAGGATGGCTAGTGATCTGCCTTACAATTGTATGGATACACAAAAACTTTGTCTTGGCATATGCTGTGTTTCTGCAGTCCAGCTGAAATGTGTACTTCACAGTGAAGCTGAACCATTTCTTTGCAACAGGCTTTATTAATCCTAGTCTTTCGATTGCCAGCACACTTGAGTTTGCTCAGGCACCACCAAGATCCTTCCTTGTTGTGAATGTGTCAGTATGGTGGTATGTGTCTCTCAGGCCACATATTTGTCATACTTTGGGGAATGAGTTTCAGAATACCAGTGGAACCAAGGGGGGTGAAATGATGATGTGTTTCAGAGCAACAGTGCAAAGCTAAAAAGTAGGGGAGAGACCCAAAGTTTTTCTCCTCTTTCGTGTAGCAGACAAGATGAAGCAATGGCTTTGGCTAAGCATGACAATGAAGATACATTCATTGAAGCACAACTCCAGCAGACTTTGGCTGACCTGGATGAAGATTTAGAAGGTAGGAAAGTTACCTCTTAAGTACAAAAGAGAGAGAAATAACCAGTAGATGCAGAATAATCAGTTGTACTCTGACACATCCTCTGCATTTCTCACTAAGATCACTGGGAACAACTCACAGGTCTGCGGCAGAATGTGGTCCACCCAAAGTGGTTGCTCTTCCTTTGCTTCAGGAGCAGCCATCTTTTGTAGGCTCGCACTGAATATTTTTCAAATTGTATATCTGATCATCATTGTATTTCAGTGTCTGCTACCAAAAAGAGATGAACAGTAGTTAATGGACACATTTTATAGGCCAAATTTGGTATAATTTCCCTGACTTAAGTGAAGCTAAACCAGTTGTGAATTTAGCTCTGTGTTTAATGAACAATGCCTCTGTTTTGTATTTTATCATAGTGAAGTGGAAAAAGGATGGGACCTTTTTGTAGCCAACACCTCCTCTGTGTTAACAGGCATATTTAAAAGTTAAAAATGGGAAAACATGAATTAGTGGGAAGAGAGAGAATGTCATATTGTGCTCCTCTTTTTCCTACTGTGGATTAAAAATACTTCTCTATTATTGGTTTGTCAAAAAATGGCATTGAATAGTTTTTTAAAATTTCCTATCTTTATTTTAATACTTCTACAGTGGACTAGATTCTGATTTGATTTCTTGTGAGTTCTCTAACGTGGCAATTCCTTAGCTTCTGTTTTGTAACCTTTGATTTATGCCAGTGAATTTGAAAGGATATTTAAGCTTCTTGCACAATGAGGCTTCTGGAGTCACTGGTAATAAAGGGTGAGAAGAATGAAGAAAAAATAAAAGTACTGTTTCTTTTTTTGCTTGTTCAAGGAAATCCTTCAGCTGGGCTGTTATTACTAACCAGATCTGGGAAACATAATTTGGAGTTGCTTGCTGTTTCTCAGAAATATTTCTCCTTCGGAGTCATGCAGTGAAACTTTTATCACTGAGATAAGTTAGTCAAAGATAAGGTATGAACAATAGATGAAATTCTGCTTTCAGCTGTATTTGTATGTTTCCCACTGGCTGAAGCAGGAGGACTGCAGGAATATTTGGCTGATCATAATCAGCAACCAGACAATAAGAAGGACCCAGGCCTCTCTTTTTTTTGTAATAAAAGCATAAAAATACTCCTGTTACTTTTAGTGTAACTAAAATATCTGGTCTGCTTAAGCTTGTGCTATCTGTTTGTGTGATTTAAAGTCATATTGCTTAAATACTGCCAATATGTAATTTTGTATGTGTATTTCGCAGCGGTGGATGGTATGAGTAACTCTGACTCTGACTACATCAATGAAGCATTGAACCCACATATAAGAAAAGTTGAGGCTGCCCAAGATGTTTCCATTTCTGTTCCAGTAACAGTCATAGACGATGCTCCAGAAGTTAGCACCTCTAACTCAGATGAAAATCAAGAGATGGAGATGAGGGTTCCACAAAATATCTCAATCGACTGTGTTAATACAGGAAACTTGACAAATAAAAACAACAATGCAAGTTCCTTTGATAAGGGACACACAGATGGTGGAGCTATATGCGTATCAAAAGACCTAATACATCAGCAACCATCTGAAAATGAATTCAGTCATTTGCCTGTGGAACAGCGGAGAGATATGTTTGAATCTCTCACATCCTCCTTTGAAAAAAGAAGTGAAAAGAACTTAAGACTGGAACCCCTTCCCAAACATGGTGTGAAGTCTGAGGAATGTAAATCTAAGCTGAGTCCATCTCACTCCAAGACCACAGCTGAAATCAATACAGCAAAAGACAAGCTAAATCCATATAATGAATATAGTAGCAGGGAAAGATCTCTGAAAAAAAGTAAATCAGAATTAGAAATCAAATGGCCACCAGCAAAAAAAGTGGAAGTAGAAGAAGTCCCATCAGCACCTACATGGTGTCATCGTGCCCAGAATTCAGGATCAAACTATGAACCTAAAATGGGTTTGACAACCTTTAAAGTTGTCCCTCCCAGACCTGAAGTAAGACATTTCGATAGAGGAGTTTCACTCTCCACTGGTGCCATTAAGATAGATGAACTAGGCAACCTTATAAGCCCAAACACTGGTGTTAGTAAACACATACCAGGTTCTTCTTCTGATGAAAGTGAGGAAATTCATATTGGGAAAGTGAAGGCATTCTGGAGGTCAAGTTCTATGGAAAAGCAAAGTGATGACTCTGCTGAGCATTTTTCTAAAAAGTCAGCAGTCACCACGAGCTCTAAGCCCTTTACTGTAAAACATGAACACAAACCTGTCTGTCTTGCAGCTCCAAAACTTGTAGCACCACAAACTGTTACTACCCAGGTAGCCGAAAGACAGTCTGAGAATGAAAGGACCAAACTACCTCTTCCAGTTACACAGTCTCAGGTAACACCATTAGCAGCCCCAACCATTAATAAGGACAAGCTGGAACTTCCATTTGTAAAGCCACATAGGAGAACATCCAGTCAGTATGTTGCCTCTGCCATTGCAAGACACATCAATGCAACTACCTTTAAGTCTGACTCTGTGGAATATCATGAGAAAGATGAAAACAAGCAAGGGGCAGGAGAGGTTAAGACTGAAGCAGAAGTTTCACCAAAAAGATGTATTATTGTGGCCAAATATAGCCCTGTGGAAACAGAGTCAGCAGAAACAAGAGAAACACTTTCAAGTGTTTTTACTTGCAGTCAGAAAGCATCCCACAGGTTTACACCTGGTGATAATTCTGGCTTGGAAAATAAAGTAGTTAATATCAGGGCACCAAATCAAGCAACTCCTCTGAGTTTCTATAAAAAGAATGGTGGTGTCCCACTTACTAAATCCTCCTCAAAGGATAACAATGGTGCAGAAGAGGATCGTGGTTTAAACAGCAAACAAAGTATAGCAGAGAAAAAGACACGTCTCATGTTTGACCAGAAATGTGAGACTTTGACCCTTACTAATTCAGCCTCATCTCTTAAGTCTCCTGACCTCCAAGGAGTCCCATCCTCTTTCAGCTCATCTTTGCGAGTCGCTAAATGGCCTCCTGCTAATGGTGTTCAAGTTAATTCGTCTAAAGCGTCACCTGAGTTAAACGGTGCACCAGCAAATGCAGAGTCAGAACAGGAGGAGAAACCTGATGATTCAGATATTAATGCTGTCAGTGAAGTGGATATTAATGTGCAGACCAATATCTTTGGACCAAAGAAGAAGTTCAAACCTGTCATCCAGAAACCAGTTCCAAAAGACACATCACTGCACAGTGCCCTAATGGAAGCAATTCAAACAGGAGGGGGAAAGGAGAAACTCAGAAAGGTAAAGTGGAAACATTTTTTAGCCTGTTCAGACTGCAGAGCCCTGTGTTCACCCTGTCAGACACCAGAGGTTTTATAACTGGTACAGTTGCTGGTGAGCTGGAGAACACAAGGCATTTGAAAAATTTATAATGGCAAAATACAGACCAAGCTGCTGCTTATTCTGCATATCCTGTATATTATGCAACACCACGGCTACTGCACTAGCTAGAAGAGGCAGAGGGTGCATAGACACAGCATAAACGAGAGGTAATTGAGGTTAGTCTAAGAACTGAACCCTCATTTCAGTATGTTATGTAAAAACAGGAACACACAGCGTGGAGAAACCTGTGAATAACTATAATGAAAGAAAACTGCATTTTGTATTACTAGGGCATAATAATTGTTTGCCACTGACTTCATGCTTAGGGGATATGAGACTGCATCTCTAAGTACAGCATTACTATCTACACATATCCTCACTGTTCAGTGTGAGTAAGGGTTTTAAAAGCAGGCCCAAAAAAAGACAGACTGATTAGTCTTCATAGTTTGCATTCTGGTACAAATGCCAAAAAGTGTTTCCAAGCTATCTCTAAGTAAATATCTAATAACAATGTGAGGTTTATTCCTTTCATATTCTAGGTTTCAAACAGTGCACTAAATGGCAATCACGGGAAACCCTCATATGCTGAGCCAGAGAATGCGCGCTCAGCCCTACTAGCAGCAATTAGAGGCCACAGTGGCACCTCAAAGCTGAAAAAGGTAAGAAATCAAGACGGTAAGTGATCCTTAAAGTGCAGTCTGTTCCTACAGGGTGTTTTAAATACACCCAGATATGCCACAGACTAAACATCATGCTGCAAAGGGAGAAGTTGAGGGGGAAACTATATGACAGAAGACCAGATCTGACTTAATCAGAGAGTATCGCAAGTCCAATTCTATCCTCTGCTATAAAACAAACTCTTTCAAATGGTGTGCTTTTAACTTAGAAAGGACATAGAAATCCAAACCAATTACAGGGAGTGTACATAGAAGACATCAAATGTTCCTCATTTTCGCATTTAGGTGGCATAGAATTGTAGAATGGTTTGGGTTGGAAAGGACCTTAAACACCTCCCACTAGATCTAGTTGCTCAATGTGCCATGCAAACTGCCCTTGAACACTGCCAAGGATGGGACATCCACAACTTCTCTGAACAGAGAAGTTGTACTTTAGGAATATGCAGTTAGATTAATATATTTGCATTACCTACCATATACATCCAGTCTCAGTTACCTGAAAACACACTAGACCTTCTTCATGCCGTTTATCTGCTAACATGGTGCATGCAAGCAGCATGCAAGTAATTGATTTTGGTGTTCCATCAACATTCACTACAGCAGGATGATTCCTTCTCTCTGATTTACCTAATCATTAAAGCATCTCTTTTTCCTAATAGCCAAAACCTATACTGTTCTAGCCTTAGTTTTCACTCAGTTGACTAATCCAGCCAAAGATGTGTACTTGGCAAGGAGGTTCCCATTTCCCTCATGCAATGACTCAGTTCATTAGCACATATTCAGATAGCTGGCATTAGATAGAAAATGTCTCTTCCTGTGTTAGGGAATTACTTCATCCCTAAATATCTTACTGCACTTGCTGCAGGTAGGGTACAGCTTACTCTGAGCCTGTGAGCAGGATGTGCTAACCAGCAACAATCTGCACATATACTGAACTGCATTCTGCATTCATTGGGCATAAATGTAAATTTGTATAAAAGAGGGTCTGACAATTAAGTGATAGTGTGTCATCACAGAGACTTTTTGGCAGAGAAGCTTTTGCCATAATTTTAGAGAAAGATGCCTAGAAACGATGCACTTCCTTTTCACTGTGTCACCTGTGCTAGTTAAATGACCATGTTTGTATGTGTACAGGGCACGATGCAGATGTGCTATGATGAAAGGGCTGTCCTTTTTATGTTATCTCAAATGTTCATCTTTTATCTAACATGATGTTATGCTCATATATATATATTGTTTGTGTGCAGTGAGGGAATAGAATACAGGAGCTTTCTGTGGATTATTTGATGGGAGATGAATCCTTTAATTTTTCACCACAAAAGTTCTATGTCTCAATTTCTCTGAGAATTCTAATAGATCGCTTAGAAACCTCCTATGTGGCCTATGATACTGAATTTCCTAGTTATTGCCAAATAATTGTAATTACTAACAATTTATCACGATTATTACTAGTAATGGTGTTAATGGCAAAAGTATCTCTTGAGATAGTTGATGGAAAAGCTGGCTTAGTCTGCAAGATTGTCTTTTTCATGTGCATACACTTGAAGTAGGATGAGTTTCCAAGCTGTTAACTTGTGCAGAGATTTTAGTTTCAGAAATTCCACAGAAATACACTTGGAAGAAGAATCAATTGATTTTGTTCTCAGTGCTTTCACATAGTTCTCTCTGGTCCTTTCTTTTTCTTTTTCAAGTATGGCTGGAAACTTTGGGTTTAATGGCATTTTTTTCAATAAAGCTATGTCTGAGAGCTCAGATCTGGAAGATCATCCCTGTCATCTGAGATTATTTCTGTGCAGCCTAGACTGCAAAAAAGTAATTAGATTCATGGGTGGCTATTTCAGCTTTAATATATCTCCCTGATTCCAAAACCATTGCAGTTGTTTTCAAATTAATACCAAGTCCAACTTTCTCTCTTACCTTACATGCCAAGAAGAGTTGCAGGATGCTGGATCTCACAGTAAATAGATTGAGTTTCTGAGACAGACTCAATGCCAAAATCTCGATGCTAGTAATCAGCCCAGCTGAGTGATGTGAGTGAGTAGTAACAGATGTTTGACCCCATGAGCAAACAAAGGTTTGCATCATTCAAGCGAAATGAAAGTGCATCAACTGTCAAATAATTACAGTTTAGCCATGCTTGATATTAATCACCTTCTTTCAACTGCCTCATGAGCAGATCTCCTCTTCGGCCTCTGAAGAGCTGCAGCGTTTTAGGGACGCAGAACTATCCTTGCAGAAGGCAGAAGACCTTCAGGAAGAGCAGCTTTGTATCCCACCTGCCCCTGCCCAGCCGCCGCCACCACCTCCCATTCAGCCGTCAGCAGCAGCTCCTAAATCCTCTGCCACAGTTACAGGTAACCCATTGGAGGCAAGGCAAGCTCTAATGGAGGCCATTCGCTCTGGTGCTGCAGCAGCAAAGTTAAGAAAGGTAAATGTACTTTTATATTTTACTGTGGATGAAACAACGTATGCTAGCTGTGTTTTCAGAGACATTTTTAAGCTGTTCTAGATGCACATTTCTTTCTTCCAGCAGGAGAAGGTACATGTACTGTTTTCTCTAGCTGAATCAAAGATAGGAATGTATTTGAAACCTTCGGACAGCTAATGAAACACACCTATGCATATATGCAACAATTTGAATAGTTAATACTTTTTATTAAAAGAGACAATCAGGAGCATGTGTATAATTTCAGAAAGTATTTTCATTACCTTTTCATTCCTGTGTATCTGAGATAATGCTGTATGTCCTTTAGACAAGGTGAACTTAAGAAAGATCAGATATGAGACCCTGAAGCAAATTTATAAATAAGTACTCTCTCCTAATTTCAGTAGTGTGTCCTAGACTTTGATTCCCAACACTTACACCTTGGTCGCATGTGCTGAGAGCTGTCAGTAAAACTGGGAGGTCAATTTAATGTCTGCCTGAACTTTATTGAATGGCATGTGTTTCACTTCTGTGATCAGCTGTGAATCAGTCATCTCCCAGATGGCTAAATGCTCAGTTGCCTGTGTGTGATTTTTGGATAAATTCACTAACCTCTTTGATCAAAGTTTTTTCTTCCTAATCTCAAGTTACACTGCATTTTTTGGTGAAGAGAAGCAGATCGATTGGCCTTAGTGGAAGCATCCCAATGTTACACTGCAGTATCCAAGAATGGATTTTGATCCAGGGATTTTAGGGAGTGTACAAAAGTAGATGTAGTTTTCCCAACACATGATTTAGCTGATGCCAGCCATAAATGTGTAAACATTGCATACTTGTCCTCTTTTGGATAATGAAAAAATATGCTCAAATTTTAACATTTGAAAGTAGCCAAAAAAATATGATTTCTCATAAACCAGAAATTCCACAGAATCATACAAATGGCACAAACAAATTAGTGTTTCAGGGAAATTTACATCAGCGTGTTCTGATTACATCAGAAATCTGGATGTGCTGTTATTTTTCATGTGAAAAGTAAGTATGTTAAGCATAAGATTATGAGGAGCATCTGAGTTTACGTGGTTTGTTCAGCTTGGAGAAGGCTAAGGGGCAACCTCATTGCAGTCAATGTCTTCCTCAAGGAGGGCAGCTGAGGGGCAGGTGCTGATAATCCTCTCTGTGGTGACCCGTGATAGGACATGAGGAAATGCAACTGTGTCAGGGGAAGTTCAGGTGACAATAGGAAAAGATTCTTCACTGAGAGAGTGGTTGGTCATCTGAACAGGCTCCCCATGGAAGTGGTCACAGCACCAAATCTGTCAGATCTCAAGGAGCATCTGGATGATGCTCTTAGTCATATGGCTTAGTTTTAGGCAGTCCTGTGAGGAGCAGGGTGCTGGATTCAATGATCTTTATGGGTTCCTTCCAACTTGAGATACTCTATGATTCTAAGAGTACAAATTTTGAAGAAATCAGACCTTTATTTCCCTACTTTACCAACTGACAGAAAAAAAAACAGGATTTGGACATTCAAGGATACATGATGCAATTATTTTTTGACCCTTCCAAATTTCTTGTTCTTCCAATTGCATTGCTCTTGCCCAAGTCTCTGAGGCAATCAGTAGCTCTTCTCATGAAACCGAGTCTTCACCATTTCGTTGTGGATTTATTTCAAAACACTTGGATAACCAGTGCAGGCCATGAAAATACGCCAGATATTCTCACGTATTCTGCTAAATACTGTGCCTGTCTTGTTTCATTTCCAAGACAGAGTAATTTTTTGGAGTTTTGACATTGAAACAACAGAAGAGTATGTGTCATTATGTAGGTCTTTTATGAAAATAAAAGAGAGCAGTGTTTTGTCCAAGACAGAGTATGATTTTCTTACTACTGTGCTGTTCTTTCAGATACTGGATATGGAAACTAGCCTTGTATACACAAAAGTCATCTTGACACTTTGACATCTGAGATCTCATGTCCTTGATAAGATTTTGGTTGCAGCAATTAGACAGCAGAGTAGGTAGTTCAGTTCAGTAATGGCGTCTGTTTCTCTTCCATTGTCTTCTCAAAGCTTTCTGGGACAAGGGCTTCTGACAGCAAGGTCATTTATTTAGGTAATGTTGTGGAGAACTGGGAAGAATCTGTATTCCTTAGTTATGTGTGACTTAGTGCTTATTTATGAAGGAATATTTGCAATGGAAGCAGATCAAACGGGACTGTCAGTGGAACCAAATGTAAAAAGCAACCAATTGCCTAGATAAGGAGCATCCCAACAAACATTTGAGCTCTAGTAATATCTGTGAAAAGCCAACTCCTCCACTCCTCCCCTGATTACACAGCTATTTGCTAGAGTCATGAACTTTAAGGTTAAAAGATCCACTATGCAGGAAGGGAGGAGAGAAGTTGCTGGAGGCTGACCTTGCCTTGCTGAGAGGCAGGGTCTGCACGGCACAGTCTCTAAGTGGGTCAGCCAAAACAAACTGGAGCAGAAATAGGTGCTTGAGGAAAATACTAAGTATAGGTAAGGCAGTACGTGCTTAAGTCTGCTGGCTCTTCTTTAATCCATTTCTTGGAGTACTGTGCCTGCTTTGGCAAATAAATCACCCTTTGTTTTGAAGAAACGACTTCTGTTTTATTGCACACTCTTGCTGTCCACACTCTTGCTGTCCCCAGTTGGGCCTGCTCAGTAAAATGGTTCATCCGCAGTGCAGAGCAGTTTAGAGACCTGCTAGAAAGTGGTTACACTACAGATCCTACCTAAAGGGACCGGAGACACAGGCATGTCACAGTAACAGGATGAACTTATTTACCCAACTGGAAAAGACCTGACAAAGTGCAGGAAGTAACCTTTTTCTTCAGTTTTTGAAATGGTCTGTCAAGGAACCTGACATTGTTCAACACATCCAAAGTATAACAGCAAGTCAGGGAGGTGGCATCAAGCAAAGCCACCAACCGTGATGACTGCCCCCGTGCCTTTGGTGGTTAATTGTCTTGAGAAATGAACGTATCTCACTGGCAAGGAGCCTGCTTCCCAGCCATGCAGTCTGCCTCATGTGCAAAGGAGAATCAGTTGATCTAGGAAATAAACAGCTGATTTGAGACCAGATTTTGGCTAATTCTGGTGGGCAAAACTCAGGTCATAGAACTGTACCATTTGTAGCTTCTGATGTTAAAAGTGAAGTAGTGTTTTCCTTCAGTTGTGTCAAACAGAATCATATAGTGAAGATCTATATGTCCAGTTTTTAACTTTCTATTTCCCATCTCAGAAAATGCAAAATAACCTAGCTAGATTTCTGAAGTTCTGTATATCAATGCATGTGTATTTTTGGTTTTGCGTAACTTGCCTTGGGATTTACTATGATTATCTGTGGAAAAAAACATAACTACACATGCAAATAACCTGTTAGATGTCTAGCTGTAGGTATAGTTGCAGCACAAGTCCATGCAGGATTAAAAATCTTACCAAAGAAGAGAAGCTATAAAAGTTCCTTTAGATTATATGCCGTCCATTCATTTTAGGTAGAGTTGTACCCAGAGATTTGGTAGAAATACTACAGGAGAATGTGCCTGCAAATGGTGGGGAAGGCAAGTTATATCTCTGAAGAACAGGCTCACGGTAAAATGGTTGCTATAGACCACTTCTTAATGGTATGTGCAAGGGAGATTCTGCAGATTCCATATATCTTCCAACAAAGAGTTGCACCAAAGCAGCCCTTTCTGTTTGCTCACTGAGATTTTAAAAATTATTTTGGCTCCATCACAGTATCCACAAGCATTCGTGCCAGTGTTTGGCATAGGCATTAGGTCATGTGAACCCTTGATACGTGCAGTGTATCATTCTGTTGGCAATCAAAGGAGCCAGGTAAGATAATTACTGCACCATTACAATGAGTCCATGGTGTACACTGGGATAATTTGGAGCTGGTTGTCAACAATTAACACATTGATCTGAATTATGGCACGTTGAGTGTCTTCTAGGAAGCATGACCTAGTTCTATACCTTTATGTCAAGCAGTGGACTGTTCTCACATAAGCAGAGATATATAATTGTGAATGAACAAATACTGTTTTGTACCATCAGTATCTGTGGGTGCAATGACAGGATTACAGAATCAAAGCCACAGTTAATGTTGGCTTTGGTAGGCTGGAAATGGGGCAGGAGCCCCCACGTTAAGGTTGGCCAAACTTGATATACAGGTAGTCAAATGAGCCTATGAAGCGATTCTAGTTCCCATCCACAATGAGAGGCAGGCATTTGCATGCTGTTTGAATTGAAAGATGAAACTTGAAAATAATTTGAACTCTTCACCTTGCTAATAATTTATATCATGACCTATTTTTTTCCTCAAGAATAAAGTTTCTGCCATGGATACTAAGGACAAAATGGTAAATTTAGGCATGATCAAATACATGATTCCTGTTTAGTTTTTGCGCTGACCTCAATGTATATCTCTATGATAGAATCAAAGCTCAGTAACTTTGAATTTGGAAGAGCACCTTAGCATATGAATTTAAAATTAAGCATATGCTTAGATGACCTGAGGACTGGGAAGGAAGATAAGCATTTGTTTAAGTATTTTCCTGAATCAAAGCCATTGGGAGTTTCCTTCATTTAATCAGGAAGCAAAGTACTCGTCAATTGATTTTTATGGCCAGTGACAGCTAGCTGACACAGAATAGATTTTGACTGTCAGATGTTGCACACTTATAGCCTGGGTTTCTGTTCATTCCACAATGAAGGACTTTCAGAGAAAAATACATCACCTGTGTTCCAGAAATTGTGTAATTACAACCTAAATAGCTGCAACATACGTAAGTATATATGCGTTGTGGGGTTTTTAGGGAAGGATAGCACCTTTCATTAAACCAACTGATACAGCTAGAAAACAACAGATAAGATTTAAGTAGTCCCAAGAAGCAGATGAAGAGACCAAGCTTGAAAGCAGCCTCACAGGAGAATGTTTGGTTAACAATGTCAGCAGTTGGAGGTTTAAAAATATCTTGAATGATCTTGTGCTTTTCTTTGTTATAGGTCCCTCTGCTTGTTTAAATCATATGAAAAGAACAGATAATTGGAAAATCTAGCCCCGTATGCATCCATAATCATCATTCAAGCTCTGAAGTGGCAAAAAACATCAAGAAGTTTATTATATTCTCGTCTACAAGCCAAAATAAGCTGTAGTTAATTTTCTGTGTGTTCCTGCATAATGGTTCTAAGGGGGAAATATGTTGCTCTGCTGTAAAGCTTCTGTGCCAAGGAATTGTGTTTTGCCTCTGAATATTTAAAGTTGCCAATAAACCATTCTTGTTGGCAGGTTAATAAGAATATAAACACTGTGCAGTCCTGTGTTAATACTTAATTGTATTTATGGGCAAAATTAAAAACTTTACTAGCTATCTGAAAAGTAATATTCATTTTAAGTTGTTAAAAATATTTCAAACTATTTCAAACTATTTACTTGCTTCTTATTTGATTTCAAAAAGGACTGTAAATGGTTGGAGTGAAAATCAGAATAAAGGTCTATAAAAAACAATCACAAGAAAAAAGTTATGGTACCTAAGTTGTCATATGCTGGAGTCACTGGTTTTTAAAATTAAATTAACTTTGTATCTCTGGTGGAGCTCTGAGAAAGCAGGCAATTAATAATGAATGTGAGACAGTGTCTATTGCAAAGTTACTTATGGGATATGACGTATAGAATGCTAATATGCAGAGATATGCTGAACCCTAGTAACGTTCGTGGCACTTCAGAAATATTGAGCCACCTTAAAGGATCTCTATTTGCAACAGACTGTGAAGGTTTTAAATAAGATTCAGAGTCCTGCTTAGAGGTCCAAGATGTAGAATTCATTCCTGCGCTGCAAAACGAAGTGAAGCTGGTTTATATCAGTAACCAGGACTTTTGTGGACTCTTGTTCAGGTCGTGCATAAGTTGGCCCTTTATTTCTAATTTGTATTGCTGTTGTATGTTGTCTCACAAGTATTTATAGCAGCATCTTTTTCAAATGTTAACTACTTTGGTAGTTGTTGTACATATTTTGAAAATATTTCGTTGAATTGATTAACTTAAAAAGGACGAATGAAAACGCTTTTTCACATTTCCTATATTGTAATGACACTGAAGAAGAGGAAGTTTGTACATTTACATTTTTATAATCATAGACTAGAGTGCTGGCAGATTCTTTTTTTTTTTTGAGCTGGAATTTAAAATGTATAGTTATGGACTGTTGAAAGCACAAGAATATTTAGCCATCTGCAGTTAATGTGACTATATATTATATATTATTATATATTGTAAAATATTGATATCTGTTAGTGCCACGAATAAAAACAAAATCAAAACCTGACATGGCTTGAAATGGTCTTTTTGCCAAATATTTTCCATTTACAGAAAGAAATTAGAGCTAGAGATGGACTTAAGCAAACCAGTATGCTGTGCTTGATATCTCAAGTCTAATATAAAATGTCTCAAGCCAGGAAAGAGCTCACAACTAACAACCTAGTAATGCAGTAGAAATCACCAACTAGAATCAACATGTCACTTAGTATACATTTCAGTAATGATGCAGTACTGATAATGCTCCATTTCCTCATTAGGAAAGCTAATATATTCAGAATTAAGGTGCTCTGTCTCACTGTAGGATAAATAAGATAACCTCTGTTGATTGTGATTAGCCTTCTTTTGCCTTAAAAGTCTTCTCAGTATGCTGAAGATCAGAAATACTAGCATTGAAAATGTTATCACAGAAAAGGATTTAGTCACTCGTAAGTTTGAATGCTGCAGATAGTCCCACTAGCAGGAAATAGAGCTTCCTTTGTTAGGTGTTGCAAGACAAAATTCAGTGCAGATCTCCTTCTTGTTCTTAGTGTTGCCTGAAGGCCCTGGGTGTGTAGCCTCTCCTTACTAGCACCCTTTTAGTGTAATACCCTATATGAGTACTTACTTTTCAATGTAAGGGATTCAAAACTAGATTGTTAGGTGATAATATCCTCTGGGCTTCACAATGCAAAGGTTCTGGTTCTGGATGCTGGCACTGCATAGAACTAAAGTTTCTAAGTGTTATTCCTGGGTAAACTTCGGAGTATTTAATTCCCATGGATAAAACACTATAAAAACAAGATAAGATGTCATCTTCACTGTGACAGCAAAAAAAAATTACAAAAAATCCTGATGGCTCAGTCACACCTCAAACTAGAAATTGAGGGGGAGTTCAGCTGTCTACAGTAGGAAGTCTAGGCTGGCTGTTCATTCCCTTCTCATATTGATGGGAGTTGTGCCTGCTTTTACGTTATCATCTAGGTGCTGTTGAATTCTTGGTAACAACTCAGTTTAACCCCAAGTGAGTATAGCTCTTATTATAAACTCATTTATAATGAAGCCTAGTTACAGGTATGACTCTTCCATATAGTAACTTTCTATTAAAGCTTTTAGTAGTAATAACGTTTAACTCATCCTAAGTTAGAAGGAAAGCCCTGAAATATCTCTGTTAAAGACATTGTGTCTTAAGCACCAAGTATTTTCATCTATATGGCTGCTCTTACTGCCCCACACTGTTTGCTAGTGCAGACACAGCCTGTGTCTAGGGGTACACGTGCTGCCGAGGTTAGTCCCTGACATATCCCTAACGGCACCTGTAGCTGCACAGTCTGCAGGCTGCTTTTGTTTCTGAAGGACTGAAAGGACAGCGAGCCCCCCTTTTCCTTAGTGTATCTCTCAGCCTAGATTGTCCCCACATGCTCTCACCTCAGTTCAACCAGAGGAAAGAGTCTGATGCATGCCTGATTCATCCAACCCTTTATATTATCTTTTTTAGTAAGAGACTAAAATGAGGTGAAAAAATGGTATCACCAGGGAAACTGAATGGAGAATTTGGATTTCGTATCTTTATTTCTTCTACAGATATAAATCAGTGTTCAGAGCATAGAGAAGTCCAGTCTAATGTCTCAAAATAAAAATTCGTATGTCTCCTCTCCTTTTTTTTTACTTGTTTTTATTTACATTTTTTTAAAACTTGAGTTTGGAGTATTACTCAACCATTAAGCCAGCATTAAATCTCTCTGATTAGATTAAATTTTAATTTTAAATAATATTGGTTGTCTGCGTGAGCTATTTGACTTACAGGCCTTCATTATAGATTCTTTTTTCTTGTAGAAACAGACTTCTAATGTTAGTCATGCAAAGTATTGGACCTGAAGACCTTGACATGCACATTAGTCTAGAGTTTAAGACATGGCAGAGTCCAACTTCCCAGACTCATACAAGTGATTTGCACAATTTGTGCTACAGCCAAAATAATTAGCACTTCGTCAGTACTAAAAGGAAGAGAACAAGAGATGCATTTATGAAACAATGGAAAATGCCACCCTGGGATAGCTTTCCCTCTAACCTCTTCAGAAAAGAAAGAAGCAGTTTTGTTGTTGGGTGCTGCTTAGCATTAAGCACAAGGTTTATTTTGAATCCAAAGATCTGCACAAATCTTGATTTGAATCAGTTTGTCTGAATGAAATGTTTATAAATTGGTTCTTTGTTGGTGCAGTATGAAAAATAGTTGGCTTCTGCAACCGTTAATTAACAACTTTTACATATTTAGAGTATTTATTTGTGTGTATTGTTTCTCTACTCATCTCTAATCCTCTGCTGAGTTACATATGCATTGTGCTTTGCTTCTGAGACTTCTGTTAACATTTATTAGACTATTCCCATTCTTACTCCATTTGTTGCTGCTGACCACACACAATAAAATATGCCATGTCCCTGCTATAACTTTAGCTGCCATAATGATTGCATTCCCCTGCTTGCAGAAAATGACCTTTGCAATGATGATTGAGTTCCTTTTTTAAACATAAAATGAAACAAAGAAATTCTTGATTTTTCAGTAATGTTCACCTGGATTTGGTGCATCACTATTTGCATCTGCTTTTCTTTTTTGTTGCTGAGTAGGGTAGGGAGTTTGATTCATTGCTGATGTCTTCATGTGGCTGGAGAAAGTTTCTATGTGTGGAACTACCCATTCCCAGGGTGGTTCATCAAAGTATGCTAAGATGGGTGAACCTTTCTAAGAGCAAAAAAAAAAAGTACTTTTTTTTTTTGTTACTAAATATTTATTAAGTATTCGTTAAATAAATATAATTTGCTTAAGTACTAACAGGTTACATGATGCTGTACCAGATATAAAAGTCCCTCTCTCCTGTATTTGTCTACCAACTTGAGGATTTTATTTGTTCTTTTTTAAACAGTTTTCTGATTTATTGCAATATTGAAGAGTTCAAAAAGAGATAGAAAATAGACCTACTTAACAGGAATATTATGTTTTTCACACTTAAGGATTTTAGGAACAAGCTCGCTTCCGTAGTCTGTTCCCTCCCATCACTCATTCCATATGTACAGGAGCACGCACAAACAGAGTCTCCTTCATCGTTTCAGAAGGTCGGGAATCATTTAAAAAGCATCTCTACCATGGGATCCTTTTCCATTTTTAACAGTAGCTTTTTTTGTCCTGTAAAATAGGAACTTTCAGAAAGTCAGGGACTAAGTTTTGATGCAGTCACAACAGCTATACACAGTCACTTTTGGAAGCAATGTCAAATCCAGTTCCAGATAATGCTATCTTCAGCTAATTTCCTTTTTTTTTTTTTCTTTACTTTTTTGTCTGTGGACTGATAAAAACACATACATGTTATGTCTCTTTTCTGAGGTCATTATTGTGCTTGAAGCCCTAAAAGGTTTTCCCCTGAACAAAGCATAGTGGTGTTGCAGTTGAACACCAGACTGAAAGAAGACATTATTCATAAACAAACACCATTGTGCAGTTTGCAAGTCAGGAGTTAAAAAAGGAAACCTTATTGAAAGAACAAGACTGTGGAACATCATTGTCTTCTACATCGGAACCTGTGTTTACTGCAATAGAAACAAAGCAAGCACAGTGCAAAGAGGCATGGGTTTCCTTTGTCTTGTTTCATGTGTTCAACAGAGGGGTTTCTGTCAGAAACTCTGGCATTTGCCCCTTGTAGTGCTTGGCACGGGTGAGTGGGTCACAACTTGAGGGTTCTGATTTGGGCGGCAAGGGCATCACTGATGGGTTGTGTCACTGGTTTGGGTTTGTTTTTTTTTTTCCTTGTGATAAGCCAAAATGTGGTTTGATTTATCCAGTACTCAAGATGGCAAACCAAGTGCTTCTGCTGAAGCAATGAGCAAAGGCTCCACAGGTGGACAGCAGTTGAGGTGGAGAGTGATTCATGATCCATTGTTTGCCAACTACAGTACCCAGATCCCAGCAGCCAGTAGCCCGTGTAATTTCTCTTCTTAAACCAGAGGCAATGATAATGCCAAAGGGAGAGGAAGTGGACGCATCTGCTTTCTGACAGAACCTAAGAATAAGCAACCCAAAGAGCTGCAACGCTCCCTGCCACAGCAACATATAACAGTGCAAACAACGTACAGGAGGGGCCTCAGTAAGCAGTAGGTCACCAAAACTACTGTTAGATCTGAATTTTGGAAGTTATCAGTGAGATACTGAGGCTGAACATAACAGGATGATATATCTACCTGGTGAGTTAGTTAACATGTTCAAGACAAGACTCAGCTATCCCCACTGTAGAGCCTTTGCTGATAAAACCCAGCCCCCAGTCCTTCAGTCAGCCCAGGTGGTGGCTGTACCTGGCACATTCCCTAAGCAGCCAGAACCAAACAGAGTAGTGTTTTGGCTGACTGCATGATGCATATCCCCTCATTCATTAGCCTCCCAGCTAATGTTCCAGACTTCCCAACTTATGGAAGGAACTCTCAGAGGCAATTTGCAGACAGCCAGTGCTGCAGAACTGCAAAGAGTTATATTTTTATGTGTTGATGAATAATTTAGCAACAATTCCGTGTTATGTAAAATTACTGCATTACTGCTACTGGGGCCAGCATTTGTACATAGTGTGCTTCTAAGCCCAGTTATACAAGTTAAAGCTTGCTGGTTTTATCCTATGCATCTGTCATTAGAGAGAATTTTTCCAGGTTCAAACTGGGAATCAGAGCAGATCTTTCATTCCAGGAGAGGGCAGTTCCACATCCTCATTCTCCTTTATAGTCCTGATAATCCTAACTATTTCCAAATAGTCAGTTTTGCACTACATTGTGTATTAGTGCTGGTTTTCTCCACAGAGGAGGATGCTGTGTAATATTTTTCCATATAAACGCCATGGAAATCTTCCATCCTCATAGACATTTGCTTTATATTAAGGAGCAAGCTAAGACATATTTTCATGCAGAGTGGCCACAAGTTTCATCCCCCTACCCTGTGGGGGCATGTAACACAGAATATGGGCAGATGTATATATATCTGGCTTTGGTTTCAAGTTG